CAGCTATAGAGGTGTGTAATGCTTGAGTTGAGAACTATGAGCTATAAATAAAGGATTGTCATCTTATTTGAGTNTCCCCTAAATGAGTAGTGCTAAAATAGCGCAAAATAGTACTACAGTAGTGCAAAATAGCGAAAATTAGAGGACCACATTTGCAGTAGTGCTATAATAGTATCATGTTGGCACTACATGGCACTATAGAAAAAGCGATAGTGAAGAGTAGTTATAACTAGTACCAAGTATACTAATTAGTGCTTAGTTGCACTACTGAAGAAGTGCGTCTGAATAGTAGCTCTAATGTAGATGTCATCTCTGCTAACACTTGCTAATATAGATGAGATTATCTGAATAGTGATAATTAGTGTCAATTCGCAAAGGCTGTTTTTCCAGATGTCGATCACCCATCTCCTCTGTAGGTAGCTAGCAGCCCTACCTCTCACTGCCCCTTCTAGTCTAGGGAATCTACTTCTTTACACCATCTCTTGCTGTGTCACCTGGAGTTGCTTCGCCCCTCAGCACCAACCCCATCACCAGTAAGCTTTGTCTTTGTTTATCTGGTGGCACAGCTCGTTGGCTGTGACAGGAGGACAGGGGCCGAGGGGACGGTCGGGGTCGCAGGTGTGCCGTGCTCATGTTCATACCAAGTGTCCTGTTTCTCTCGGGTGCCCTCCGGAAGGAGGTCCTCGACGTCTTCTGACATATCCGACAGGTATCCGTCGTATTCCAGGTCGCCATCGTCAAGAGGCACTCGGCGGCCATCTTCTCGGCCGCGCTCAACAGCGCCGCCATCCTCCTTGTCCTGCCCAGCCGCCTCCTTGTCCCGCCCAGCAGCCTCCTTGTCGCACCCAGCCGCCTCCTTGTCCCGCCCAGCAGCCTCCTTGCCGCGCTGAACAGGGGCGCCATCTTCTCTGCCGCGCTGAACAGCGCCATGGTGCTCCAGATAGAGCTCAATGCGATCCATGCCACCCTGAAGCCCGGAGGCATTATCGTGCACAGGTGCGCCACGTCGAACTTCTCTGCCACGCCCAACAGCGCCGCCCCCTCCCTTGTCGCGCTGGACGGTGTCTCCACCTCCCTTGTCGCGCTCAGCAGCGCTGACGTTGCGCTCAACAGCGCCGCGATGTCCCAGACGGAGCTCAACGCGATCCAGACCCCTATGGGGCCCGGGGTATGGGTTGCGCAGAGGTGCGCCCAGTTCCTTCTCTCGGCCGTCTTCGGTGTTGCGCTCTGCCTTGCTTTCGCCACCCAGCCGCGCTCCATCGTCACCCAACATGTCCTCCATTTGAACGCTGACCTCTCCAGGCTGAAGCCTCCCCGGCCCTCTGCTATCGCTGGCAAGCAGGGCGTGTCGGACATCACGAAAACTTGCTGTCCCGCCGAGTGCTCCAACGAGCTCGTCGTGAACTTGCCGCACAGACAATTGGGCGAGGAACACGGCATCGGATTCACAGCGTGCATCTGCAATCGCCCGCGCAACGGCCTCTCTCACTCCAGCAGGTAAGTCCTCCCGCTCTAACATGCTCGCTTTGCTGACTTCAGGTGGACTGAATGTCCATATCTTGCGGGCCATGGACGCCATCTTCGGCGGAATTTGTGTCCGCGCGAAGACAGTGTCACTGGCTTGCAGAGCGGCGGCGGCGGCGAGGCGAGCATGTTTCTTGGGGCTGGATGGGAGCACCTCTTCGGTGCTGGATCTCTCTCTCTTGAAGACACTGCGGAATTTCTCCGCCTCGTATCTTTGGTTCACAGTCTCAGTAAGTACTTTTCTTACTGCCCAATGAGAGACTAAGTACTCACGAATTGCGGATTACAGTGTCAGTGGTGTCCTTTGCCCGCACCCTAACCTGGTGGTTATAGAGTGTTCGTGCAGCTCTACCGGTATGTACCCCTTTCAGCTCGCGCTCCCCTTTTTCCCATTGTTGTTTACTCTTCAGTCTCATCAGTTCATTGTATGCTGACCGCGTCACCATCTCCAGGTTTTTGAGGAGCTCGTCACCTTCGAGCTCCTCAACAGACTCCTCATCGGAGTCGTCTACCCCAGGATCTTCAGCGCAGCCTCCCCCCGGGAGGGGATCCTCCGCGATGGGGTTGTGAAGGGCCTCGGATGGGTCGTCGGGGGGTAATTCCTGCAGGGACTGTGGTGCTGTCGTGTCTTGGGGCGGTGGCTCCATGTCGGTCTGCGGAGCTGAGGCATCCATTTGGGCTGCTTCACGGGCCTTCATGCGGCCCGCTAGAGCTCGTGCAGCTGCTGCCGCTAGGTAGGCCTTCTTGCGTCTAGGCATTTCATAAGTTGGCGTCGAGTACAGGAGGTTCAGCAAGATGATGTGGTTGTCATAGTATGTTGTATTCCTATTCGTTTACTACTATGTACATTACTATAACAAGTATGTCGGCCTATGCAACCTCTCGACGACCAGTGGTGCGTCGTTGAGCCCCAAGTGTTACAGCGAAGCGTGTCAGCACTCAAGGGGTCGTGTGCAGGTTATGCACAACGAGGACGCAGACTGATGACAAGCTTAGCACACTGGTTCACTGGGGGTCTGGGGGTTCGAGGTCACTAGGGGTCTAGGGAGTGAGAACGCTTGATTGGTACAAGAGGTCAAACTGGGGTGCCCAGTGCAAGACCTGTCCTTATATACTAAAGTACACGGTCGCTGACTAATCGGAGAACAATAGCGAATGGGGACAAAGGAGTCACGTGGTGTTGTGACCACGTAGTACAATGGCGAAAAGAACAATAGCGATGAGAACAATGGGGATATGAAGCATGGTGTTGGAACCATGATAGGTACGAGTGTCCGGGTTGTGCCGTAAGAAGAGGGAATGCATGGTAGAGAGGATACGAGGAGAAAGGAAAGAAGAGACGCCCCCACAGGGCGTTTGTAACACCAAGCTCAGGGAAGTCACGTGACCACTTAAGCGCGCGCTTAGCTCTGTGCAAAACTGG